TAACTTTTTATGCTCTACACGGAAAGAGTCTTCAAATTTTTTCCGGCTCTTAGGTCATGTATAAACTGGGCGGACCTAAATGGAAGTACCCTAAAAGAGCAGCCGCTCATACCTGGATCCGCCACTGATTGTTTCGTGTTGTTCTCACGTTGTAAGCTATATCTTACTTGAAATACGTCTCCTCTATGATATTTGCGATCGATAGATCTAATATCATTTGATTTTTCTTCATTTCCTCTTGGCGGATGAAAACGTAATTGCCAATAAAGACGAGTCCAGTCACGACCAATATGTTTTGAGACTAGATTAAGTGTTTTGGACAAATCATCTGAAAGACAAAACAAATATAAAAAATCACCAATTATAGTTGAGAGCACATTTTTTAGAGGGCTAATGTAAACAAGCATATACCTGAATTGCAAAACCAGCATGTCATTTGAGCGAAAAATATCGATAAAAAGTAGTTGAAAATAAGAAAACACTGGACTGATCGTTTGGATGATCGTTTTCCATACAATTTAGTACATGTGCAGACAAAATTATAGGTTTTTAGATTAGGTCGTAGCGCAAAAATTTGATATATGCATAGTCTGCTTTTTTCGGGAAAAGATAGCCCAGAGTTATTTAAAATGGCAGTCAAGCAAACTACTCATTTTCCACGGTTTAAGCATAGTATCATAGACAAAAAAACCGTTGAAATTTTACAGGGATTATGAATTTTCTCATTACTGATGAAAATAGCCTAATCTGGAACCCTTTTTGTGTTTCTATATAACCACACATATGTAGAATAATTTCCGCATCTGTTCACGTCTATTGATCTTCGAATGTGGGTTTAAATGACACATAATAAGTCAAAATCTAGTTAAGTTCATATGGAATATCTTAAATTTACTATTGATGATGTTGTTGCAAAAAAAAATGTCGTTCAATGTTTTGCTGTATTTTTCACTTCTTGTTTAACACTATTGAGGCGCGTTCTTTCAGCAATAGCTTATCTTTAAGAGCCCAAAATATGGCAAACGTTTTGTGAATTGTGAAATAGGACTTGATAGAATTAGAAAGTGAATTTTAACACGGCTAGAAGCGAGACATGATTTGACAGACAAACGTATGAAAAGAAAATGTATGCCTCTGTAGCTAGTTAAAATCATTCATGTGAACTGAGAGTATATGCTAGATCGTGCTTCGGTAGCTCAGTGATTAGAGCTTCTGACCTGTTACCAGAAGGTCCTGGATTTTGTGCAAAAAGGATAATTTAAACGGGAGCAACCGAAAATCAATTAAAATAGAAAAACAAAATTCAGAATATCAGTGGACAAATTGTGGTAAAAAGATCGTTTATTCTTCCTATGAGCACTTGCTTTCCATAAATCCTTTTCCCCCGAAAGATCATGTCTTCGTATCTTCATGTTTTAGCACTAGTTTGAAAGTCTAAATTAGAACAGCTCACTGAGAAAAAGCAAGTTGAATATTGACGGACAAAAAAAAAATGAACAGTGTTTTAAATGAAATAACTCACGATCTTTTGTAGGGAAAATCATCCACCTTCTTTTTAAACAATTCTCGATGTTTATATTCTATATCTCGATCAGGATATTTTACTTTTTTTACTAGATATTTTTAACAATTTTTCAAAATATTTTGACATTTTCTCTTACTCTAGACTAGAGATGTGCACGGGTGCCGTTTTCGTATCTGTACCCGAAAACGTTTTTTCCACCCGTACCCAACTTATGCCTAAATATTTTCTCCTTTTCCAGCTAAAACTTTTGTTTTACGGCTGGAGATGATAAATTATCATTGCGTTGTCAAGTAACTGTTTTTTAAAACTTGATGTATTTTACAACTAAATTTTTGTGGTTTTCCACTAAACCTTCCGCTTTTCGGATAAATAAAAGAAAAACGGAACCCGTACCCGTAACTGCTCTACCCGTACTCGACTTGTACCCGACAACTTCGTACCCGTGCCCAACCTTCGGATCGGGTGGCACATCTTCACTCCAGACATGCATACGGCAGCGACATCCAGTGGAATATCCGGATAAAGTCATGCTCGTCAATCACGATTGGACGGCGGAGCAGTGCATCTCACCCGATATTCAAATGTTTCTTAATCAGAGAGTCTGTTAGAAAATGTTTCATTTGTCTGAAGATAAACTTTGGCAAAACCTTGCCACAGTAATCGAAACAAACGAAAAATACCTTGAAAACCCGTTGCATAGAGCAGATTGTACGACCAAAATGTATATGGAACAAATGACTATACAGTTCACTTATATCGATCCTGCAGGAAAAGGCTGAAAATCCTTTGTATCAGTTGTCATATATGTTTTGAGTCACCGTAGTGGAACTTCTTGTAACTAAGATCTTGACTTCTTGAATTTCACAGTAGGATCTTGATAAGAAAACGTAGAACTTCTAGAGATTCTAAGTAGTTAAAAATCTTGAAATCTATTGACTTTCTTGATAGTTTTAAGAATAATCGTTCCACTTAACACTCTTAGCCACATATAGCTGGGACAATAACCTCGAAAATTTTCCTTTCTTAAACCCAACTGTTCAAAGATGTTTGATGTCTATGGCTGTCGTACGACAAGAGAACATACAAAAAGTTTTCTCTCAAGTTCCCGAAACATCGTGCCCGCGACTCACTCAAAAGCTTGACTTTTCGTTCATAAGATTTCGCCTAAGATCTTGGCTACAAGAATTTCCACTACAAATGAAAACTCCTTCTCTAATGCATTTTTGTTCTTGTCGACAAACGTATATTTTGTATATCTTAATAATCAATGTATTTGGATGTAATTAAATACTACACAGCGTGGAACGAGTTTTCTAGAAAACGTTAATTTTCAATCAGAATTGAAAGAAACTCTTGTTTTTCCGTTATTCAAAACACATTTGAAGCACATAGATCTTTGCCGTTGGAGAAAACGAATTGCTTAACAATGTTTCTGTTCTACACCCAAAAAACATCCAATGTTTCGGATCTCAAAGTGGCATAACACTATAAGGAAATAAAGTGAACTATCAACGAAGCACTGAGTGCTTTTTCATAATTATTCAAGCCTCTGTCAAGTCTAAGACACAAGAACTGCGGGAAATATGTACTCAAGTACCAAGTCTAATAGTTTTAAATTAATATTATCTTCAAATAGCACTTAGTATCCTCTCATTTCAAGAAATCACATCTCAGAATGATAAATTCGAATTAATATAAAGAAATTAACTTTTTCACATACCATTTTCTACGACTTCTCCAGTTTGATCATTTTTGCTATGTTTTGACTTCATGGGTAAATCATAATATAGTTTTTGTACAAGATCATCAGCCGATCTAATACGATAAATTCGTTTTATTAAACGAAAACATTTTTCAACTCGTGTTAATTCATTTTCTTTTAATATTTTATCTTCTAATGCTATTTGAATCGCACGATCTAATTCTTTCAAAGAAACTTTCATTTGGTCAATTTCTTGTTTTCGTTGTTCAAAGTAGTTAAGACGTGATTTAATAGTATCAATGATGAATTCTTGTTTGGGTAGTTCTTTTTCAAAATGTTTTATTTCTTGCTGAAATTTTTCAACTATTAATTTTATGTCTACTACATACTGGTCCGGATGTTTGATCATTTTTACACACTGTTCTTTATAAACTTCGTAAGTCAAACGTTTTGAAAAATAGACACGTTCTTTATCGTCCAGCTTCGATTGTAAATCTTCACGTTTACTGCGATCATCATCATATTCTTGATCCAATTTTGATATTTGTTCACGATATGTATCGACCTAGAAAACAAAAAAATGTCAATCATACATTAAGGGCCGGGGGGGGGGGGGGGGGGCGGCCCGGGGGGGGGGGGGGGGGGGCGGGGCGGTGGGGGGGGGGGCGGGG